GTTATGTAAACATATGTATATTCATGTGAGTTTGGTTGACATGGCATGTGCGACAGGTCAACCCCACCCCAATCAGCACAAATATGTCGTTTTGCACCCACCACCTTGAGACTATCAATTCGCCATTGAAAGTTCGATTGCAGGTCGCCTATTGAAGCTATATTCAATTATTTTAAAGAATTTATCTAGGTCAGCTATATTGATTAATTTACAATAGTTCGGCCTGCCGCGCGAGTTTTATTCTCCCGGGGACAGAGCCAGGATCTTCGGTTGTACGTCATTATTGCGGCATTGTTAACCGAAACCGGAAAGCTCCCCAAAATCTCGAATTTTCCCATTATAACGAAAATTTCCAATCACTCACTTGATTTGCTGCAAGACGATGTAATTACGAAACTTTATGTCTCACAATATATAATATTGTACTTGCATACACAAAAATTTTATCATGAGACTAAAAATTAATTGCAAACTATTTGAAATAATTGTAATACAATACACTTTATTTACATTCGCTAATTTAAAAGAAAAAAGGCGAAAATTGACCGAAAAAAACTGCACTCTAAGCGTATTGACTTGTTTTTCTAACAATTAAGTATATTGTTAATTTCAATTTTCAATTTGCTTAATTAATTTTCTTTGAACAAAAAAATCAATTTTGTTTTTTCTAATAATGCATTCTTTTTTGTCCCATTTAATATATTTTTAATTATTGATTTTCTATCAAATCTATTGAACGAACTAATTAATAGCTACATGATTTATTCAATTATGTACACAAAACATAAGAAGGAGTTTGTATTACCCAAAATAAATTAAAGTTGAAAAATTAAATTCAAATATGTAATTGGAAATAAATTAAAAACAAGATATAAAATCTAAAATGAAATACAAATTGCTTTTTCTTTCATTGTTTAAACATCACATGATTTAATTTTTAATCACTATTTCTCGTCCCAATTCAGTTTCACCTAAAATAAATTCACATTAATATGAAAAAAAGTGACACAGTTTAGCATTTTTTATATACATATATATGTATATACTTATATATGTACATGTATATATATGAATAGATGTACAATTGTATGTATTTTGTGTTAATTATCATCAACAATTCAGAATATCGGACTCATACAAATTATTATTCTGCAAACAATTTGAACGGAAACATCATTTTCAAAAGTCTTTTTTCTTTTTTTTTTTAAAAGTGTTGTGAATCTATAATTTTCTGAAATTTTTAAAAATGATAGCTGCCTGTAAAAATGTCTACCTGTATGTTTATGTGTTAATATAATGTACATATAATGTATAGGTCCAATAAAAGTTTTTTAATTTCAAAACTTCATCAATTAAGATAAAAGTTCAATTTGAAAATCAGTTTTTAATTTGCCCATTGTTTAGTAAGTTGAATATACTGGTTGTGCTCCTGAAAATTTAATAAAGGGGCATACTATGTAGAAATTCCAAACTCGCAAATTTGTGTAACTTGATTTGCGACCCGCAAACAATTTGGTACTTTGCAACAAAATCGCATCGCAAAAAATATAAACTGTTTCTGACAGTTTTTTCAAAGTAAACATTTGAGCTATGTATTTTAAAATAGTCATACATTTCAATTTATATTATGGAAGCGGTAATTGTTAATTTTTTAAAAAAATATGGGTTACAGAAGATTTTTGCAACGCATATTTGCGATATACGATATACAGGGTCGAAATTTTAGATACGAAAATCGTTTAGCGAAGTGGCACTACATAGTAGACTACAAGGTAAATAAAAGTGTAGGTAGTTGATATTTGAAAGATATTGTTGATATTTTGGTTTTTCAATCATGTTTTATTGTTTAATACCACGAAAGTAACTGAAGGTATCCGAATAAATTAAGAAACACTTTATTTCCGAGTTCTTCAAAACTTGTATTTACTATTTTTACTTTTCTCATTATTGATAAATTGCTAAAAACAATAAGAAAAACTAATTATAAAATATATTCACCTATATACATGTGATATTAATACAAAAAAGGTGATCAATATAAAATCATGTTCGTTTCCGATTCATTTATAATATGTAGTGGGAAGATTTCAAGAAACATTAAGTCTTCTTTGTTATTATGTTATTATTTTTAAATTAAAACATTTTAAAATATTATGAAAATCTAAAATAACAATATTTAATACCTATATATTTTAAATCTATAATTTCTATCAAAATATCTATATTATCACTTAGATAAAAAAAAAAATAATCTTCAATTCAAATACACATACAGAATTTTATAAATAACCCCGGGTCAAACACATTAAATTTTTAATTTTATTAATAAAATTAAATATTTTAATAACATTATATTATAAATGAGCTTATTTTTTATATAGGAAATTTAGTTTCACAAAAGATGCAATTATTACGAATATAATATGTTTTTAATTAAAAAAAAAATTAATCTATATTATTGTGTTGAGACAAAAATTACTGACCAAAGAAAAAAACGTAGATAATTTTTAATGCATATGTAGAAATATTATGAAAAGAAGGAAGTAATTCTTTTTTAATTTTAGATTTCGATTTCAACTGCTAATTTCATCAATATCTTCTCATTAAAATATGGTCAATTTTAATATTATCCATAGATTCGGATACATTTTATGTTAATTTTTTTTTTTTTATTTTAAAATATTGTTAATATTTATAATTTTGTTTATAAAAATGTTCTAAAAGTTTAATTTATAAATGTATTTAGTATGTATAATCACTTTGATTATTTATATGTACTATGTATACGTATACGCATAAATAATATTGACGATCTGAAACATAAATTAAAAGCTTATATGTATTTAAAAATTTTAAATTTCAATACAATATATGTAGATAAATATATTTAAATTATGTATATATGTGTATAAATATAGCTATAAAATTAAATATCATCATTACCATTATATGATAGCTTTCGAAAAAAAAAAAAAAAGATCTCTCAAGATATGCTAATGAAAGTAAGCACAATTCAAACAAGTTAAAGAAAATTTATGCAAAATTAAATATACAAAAATATATATACATAAGTATATGTATGAATTTCATCTGCATATACTTATGTAATATAAATATACATAAGTTTAATATGTGCACATATTGAGATTTAGGTTTGTAAGAAAACTAGAAATCAGCTTTTTTTTTCGTTTTTCTTTTATTTATTTATTTTAGTACCAAAAACAAGCAATATTCTGATTTAAACAAAAGTTTTATCTATACAAGATGGTTTCTTTTATAAGGAATACCATATATGATATATATAGAAGCTTTTTATATATATATATAAATACATTCATATTATGTACGTGATTGTTGATTCAAAATTCATTTTTATTATAAATTATGTATAGAAAAAAAAATATAATTTTCTTTTTTTATTTTTAAAGAAAAGTTCAAGTTTGAGGCTACTTTACAATTATATATGTATGTATATAGTTAAAAGTAATCTTAGTAATGAAGAGTTCAGATTTATTATTAAAAATTATGTGTACTGTTTCTCTAAATACTCCAACGAATTCGAGTTCAACTTTGCTCATACAAAGCTAGTTTCTTATTAAGAGAAAAATTTCAGGAAAATTTCTTATTTAGAATTATCTTGACAATTTTTTCCAAATATTCTTATCCTTATATTCTTCACAAACAGCTGAACTTCTGTTACTTAAAATAATGGAACGTACTATCACACTTAGCAAAAATCTTCTTGCGTAAATTGTACACAAAAATTATTGAAATTAGAACTGTATATAGAAATAAATAATTGTAATAATGCCAAAGAATTCTAACATCGAATTATGCCTACGTTTCAATACCTTAAATACAAATGGAATAAAAATATGAAAAATTTTTCAAAAATTGAAGTTATGTACATACTCGTATGTTTTTTAATGCATTAATACATAAAACTTACATACTCTTTATAGCTTCTGCAAAGAATTATTAATAATTTTTTCAAAACTTAAATTTTTAAGAATTAATAGATTTTATAAATATAAAAGTACCTGTAAACATCTCATTTAATCGAACAATTAAATTAAATTTTTTTTTTGCTAATAAAAATTTTTACTTTGAATATAATAAATTTATTAATAAAATAATAAATTAGTTCAATGTAAATTCAGAATTAAATTATCTACTCACTTTAAAATATTATAAAAATATTCAATTAATTTCGTAAGAAAAATATTTATTTACCGTCATAATATTCTTCCTATTTTATTTTTTGCATTTTTAATACTTTCCACATGAGGAATAGTTAATAATTTATTATAACTGCTGTTTCCAACGTGAAGACTTTATCATCACAGAAATACAGAGAATAATTTAATTTCCAAATTCCAAAAATCATACGAATCTACATTCTGTGGTTAGCAACATTGAAAACGCTACAAAATGATCATTCTTCAATTAAGTAAAACAAAATAGAAACTGATATTAAATTGAGAGAATTTTCAATAATCAATAATGCCGCTCAACTTTAAAAGCTTCTCTCTGTTGATTAAAGACAACAATGTACAATATTAGTATAGTAGACCTGTAACTAAACTGTTAATTCATTTAATCTATCGTTAATATTATTCAATAAATTTAACATGTTATGTAGTAACATTATTTTGAAAACGACATTAACGAAAATGTTAGCTACAAAAATAATAATAACAAAAGGAAAAGTTATAAGAAAAATTTATAAGCTTTGTAATATTTTAGAGCTTATCTTGAAAAAGATAAAAAAAAAAGAAAAAATAAATTAAAAAAAAAAACAAAGGAAAGAAAAATAATTCTTCCTTCACAGGTTAACAGTTTCTTTCTCTTTGATTGTAGCTTTCTTGTTCTTTTGTTTTTTTTTTTTTGCAAAATAATTTTTTTGAATTTTGTGAATATGATTATTATGTTTTTTTTTGTGCACGATTGTTATAAAAGCAACAGGTGAAAAAGATTTTGCTACCATAAGACGCCTTCAAGTCTAGCTGGCTGGATCTGTAGATGTTGAAGTTGAAAGTCTTGACTGGTTGCGTTCAAAAATTACAAGATTTTTCAATTACAAAAATAAATTAAATGTAATAAGAAATTTTCTTTAAAACGGAATAAATTCAAACAAAAAAAAAAAATAATTAATCTAAAATAATTTTCAATTTTATATCGAAATTTTGTGGATTAATTATAAAAAATTTTATAAAATTAATTTCAACAAATCGTTATAATATTCGCGTTGATAAATAAATATAGTGAATATATAAGAAAAAAATCAGTTAAGAATAACGTTGGTTAACAAAACAAAAAATAAAAGCTAGTTCGAAAAAATTTTGCAAAGGACAAAAATTTTTTCGAAAGTGCTTCAAAATAAAACAGAACCAAAAAAAAAATTTTAAGAATAAATTGTGAACTGTTTTGTGAAATTCATTTGGTGAATTTTTGGATTTGAAATTTAGAAAAGAAAAAAATAAAATTTCTTGACAAAGTTTTTAATCCAGCTAAAATAAAGTTGTAAAAAAATAATTTTTTTTCTCTTGAAATTTCACCAATTTTTTCTAAAGAACCTTAACAAAAACCCAACATATATAAAAATAAAGGATTACAAAAACAATTCAAAACAAAGTTTCTTCTTAATAAAAATAAAAAGAAAAGTTTTTAGAATATTTTTGTAAATTTTTTTGAAAATTTAATTGTTAAAAAGAAAAAGTAAATAACTTAAACAAAAATGGAAAAATACACAACAGCAAACAAATACTTACAAGGATTCGTTATCTTAACATCGTTAAGTGCAGTGTTGTCTTGTCAAAGTGCTCAAATACTTGGTAAGTTTATTTACATTTTTCATTAAAATTATTATTATTTTAACATTTATAACAATTTATGGAATAGTTAAATCTGTAGAGAAAAGACATTTTTTCACAAGAGAATCTTATAGATAACGTGAAAATCTTTATATCATTATTAGCTTACAATTTTGTAAAAATTATTGAAAAATTAAAGAAATGTAAAATATTTTATTTTGAAAAGCTTACGTTGCACATTTATAACAAAACTTTTGTGTTTTTAATTGAAAATCAACTAGATTTAGAATTCAAAAGATTTAAGTAAATTTTATGCAATTATTTTAAATTTGTACATCAATTTCCTTATTGATTTCAAAACGTGAAAAATAAAAAAGCTGTTCTACGGAAGAGTTCCAAAAGAGATTTTTCAGCTTTTTTTTTTTGCTAAAAAAATTTTTTTTAATTAACGAAATTAATAATTCTGGTTAAATCAATCTATAGTCGAACATATTTCCTGCAAAGCGAAAATACAAAAGTACTTACAATGATTTTGCTATTAAGTTAAAAAATATATGTGCACAGAGTAAGAATGAGAAACAGAGAAATTTGAATAAAGAAAAAATGTAGGCAATTTCCAAGTTATGGGCAATATTTTGTAGTTAAACATCACGAATATTATAAGATAAAAGCTAAAAAAAATTATAAATTACAAATATAAGTATATACGTTTGTATACTACATACTGACATTATTTACATATTTATATATAAAAATTTTAACAAGCTTATGACCACCACACAAAATTTCAACATACAGGAAAAATTTTTTAAATATTTAATATAAAGAATTGGAAAGAGTGCAGGTGTGGTTCAATAAATTAAAATAAATGAAACAAAATTTTAAAATAAGTATAAAAAATAGTAATAAAAAAAAAATGATTTGAAATATTTTCGTAAAAGTTCGATATTCTTATGAAAAATTTTATATAATAATTATTATGTAAGTTAAATGTAATAATGATCTTTTCTAGAATCAACTTAGTAATTTTTATATTTGCCCAATGTATGCAAGTAAAACTTTATGGGAATTTAACATTACTGATCAGTTCAAAAATTTCTTAAATTAAAAAATATGTATAATATGTATATATATATTCGAAAATCATAATTAATTTTCCAATTTGATTTATATCTAACGTATGTATACACATATAATCCCGTAATTATTGATTAATTTTCTATTTTGAATAATTAAATATTATTTTAATTATTTTTGAAACTTATTTAGTATCATTAAATAAATATTTAATTAAATATAATATTAAAGAGTTACATAATTACAGCAGAGGAAATCTAAAAAAATATATACATATAATATATATGCAAATATGTATATTACATACTCATATACAACATGTATATGAGTATGTAAATATTTTTTATAACTCTATTTAGTCATTACTTATAATGGTAAATAAATACATAAATTAAATTTAAATATGTAAACACAATTTATTATTTTACAAAAATGTATATATGTATATCTTTGTATGTACGTATTATCATCATCAATTTCTAAAATAACGCAATATTGATGACAGCAATATAAAAACTAAACATTTTCATTACAATATTTTTTTTTTGTAAAAGTAAACAATATATGGGTACCTGTTATTTATATAAACACATCCATTTATGTATACATAATCAGCATACATGTAAAATATAATATATTGCAATAATAACAACATGCAATTTTTATGTAATCCTATTAAATGTTTACTTTTTTAAGTTGCATTTACCTACCAATTTTAATGTTTATACTATGCAAACATAATAAAAAAAAATGTAAATAAAATACATTTATACACATATTTATGTATATACTATGTATTAAACATTAGACATATGTACATATGTATGTATATAGCATATATAAATATTATAGGTATGTATGATCTAAAATCACAAAGACAAATTATCGTTTTGTCTCTGTTTTTTCTTATATTATTGTCATATTTGTTGATTTACCGTTAATTCGTTAATAAAATAATATACTGGTATACATATATATATATATATATATATATATAGACATTATTAGCTTTTAGCAAAGCTATATATTATATGCATACATGCATACATATTCTACTTTCGTATAGGCATGTATAACCAACTTTTTCTATTGATTTGCTTACGCATACATCTCTTTCTTTCTTTCATTCTTATAATATTATAATCAGATGATGATTTAGGTTTTTGCCGGTTTTATTCTTATTATTTTATTATTTTTAACAAAATTGTATTTATTTTTTTTCTAATAAATTATTTGATAGCTAAAAAAGACGTTTTTATCTTGGAATATAAGATATGCGGCATCAATAATCGAATATACTTTAATATGATTATAGAAAAATAAATTAAAAAAAAAACTAAAGCAGAACAACAATAAAATATTTCTTATTCATATTTTTGCTTATTTTCTTTTTCTGTCTTTCATATTAGGTGTATAACAGGTATTATGTATAATAACAATAATATTGTGTTATCACCAAGCAAACAATAATGTTTCTTTTGTTTTTTGATCTTTTTTCTTTTATTAAGAATATTGTTAACTTTTTTTTATTTTTTTTTAAATGTTAATTTATTTAAGATTTTTATATCATATTTTAATTTGTTATACATTTTATTATACACATATTAATATAAAATATAGGAGAGAGCGCGTGTTTCTAATTTAACATTAAAATGATCAGTTTAAAGATGAATTCAGAATTTAAAAAATGAATAAAAAAAAAAAACAAAACAATATAACAACAAAAAGAAATCTATTATATCAGTTTATTGGTAATAAAGTAGCAGAAATGACTGTTATACGATTTTTTTCAAAAAAAATTTTTTTTTTTTTTTAGAAAAACTTTAAAAAAAAGCATGAGGAAATTTAATGGTTTTGGGAAGAAAAAAAATTGATTATAAATTCAAAATTTAAAAAAAAAAATACAAAAACTTGTTCTTTCTTTATTGTATGGCCATTTTTTTTTTTGTTATACTACAAGACTTTGTATATAAAATTTAAATATTAGTTAATTTTTTTCTGTTTTTTCGTTTTTTTTTTTTTTGTACAAAAATTAGTTAATATTTATATAATTTATTTGATCATAATATAAAATGAAATTTTCATATATTATCTGAAATTATAGAATTTTTGATTGTATTAAGAATTTAAGAGAACTTGAATTTTTTAAAATTTATTATAAAATGAATAATTTTATAGTTTCTAGATACTAGTTTCCAAAAAGGGTCGATATCATCATTATAATTTTAGGTTATAGATTTTGATTTTTTGGAACTACATGTTCTATACTGATATCAAATGACTCACATGTATATAATTCTTATGTAAATTACTATAATTTATAGATCAATAATATTTGTATCGCGTTGTTTCTATGTAATATTACTTTCGATTTAAAGAGAAAACCAAAAAAAAAATAAAAACAGCAAGAAACGTTTATAATCTTAAATTTATATTATTATGTATTTTGATGATTTTATAAATATTTTAACCTTTAAGAAGGTTAATTATATTTTTTATTAATTTGAAAAAGTTTTGGTTAAATTTTATACACTATAATAAATTTCTGTGTTAGAAACATATTTCTATACTATTTCTCGTAACATTATTCATTTGAGAGTACCATACAATAGAACAGTTTAGTAAAATGTAAAACTTTGATATGAACAGAATTTTAAAAGTACAGTACTTCAATATAGATAAAAATTTAGAAATTGCATTAAATTTAATTAAAGAAAAAATGATTTTTATCCAAAAGCCAGGTCTCTCTTCATTTTTAAATGAAATTTCTATAGAGTCAAAAAAGTACCTAATTTAAAAAAAAAGACTTTAAAATTTTATATTTCTCCACTAAATTATTAGCAACAATTTCTAGAAACAGTATTCTTCCACCAATTTGTTAGTATTTTGAATTAATTAAAACAACAACTTGAGTCAGGAACAGAAAAACAAGATATTTAATTAATTATTATAAAATTATGAATATTAAATAAAAATTATCAATTTAAAATTTGAAATTTAATAATAAAATTTTAATTGTATAAATTTATTATATTTTTTAAACTGGAACAGACCATGAAATTATGAAATATTTTTTAATTATTATAATGAATATGCGATATTAAAAAAATTGTGTTTTTTAATCTCCTCACGTGTATTTCAAATATTATTAACGATATACTAAAATATTTTATGGTTCAAAAAGTATTCTACAAATATTTTTTTATATAAAAATGACAAAACTGGGCCTATATCGTATAAAAAGAATTTGATTTTAAATAAGTCTGTAGAAATTTTACAAATTAAGAAGAAAAATTTTCCTTTTATAATAATGATAGTTATATCAAAATAATTTTAATTTAATTAGCTATTTCAAGTTCGTTCAATCAATTTTAAATAAAAAGCAATAAAACAAAATAATAATATTAAATGAAATTTGCAAAATTATAAATTTAAAAAACTGCTGAATTCGACAATATTGTCAATTATTGTTTCTTGTGACCACAGAATAAATTCAATAAATTATTAAAATTAAATAATTTTCAATAATTGAAAAAGAATGTTAATTGAAATTTCTTTTCTTATAAAATGTAAGAAAATATTTTAATTTTTTTTTATTTTTAATTATCATATTATATTATGTTAGTTGAATATTGCAATAAATTAAATACTAAATTCGTAATTAAAAATTTAAGGTGGCATTTAATAAATTATTTATCTTAAAATTTTTTGGTGTAATTGTATAATCATAATTTCTAATAAATGTCAATTTTAATAATTCTGAAAAATTTCCATTCAGAGAAAATAAACATTTTAAGTAAATAAATAAATTATTTAAATTAATTAATGCAAATTGATAAAATTTTTAAATTTAACATATTAATTCAATAAAAATGCATTAGTATACTCGTAACTTCTGTGTATAACATTAAAAAAATAAATAAATTATTTTATTTAATATAGAT